GTCTCCCTGCTCCAACTGTGACCAACTTCCCTCCCTGCTGGCCTCCCAGGTATGAAGAGGGCAGAACAAAGACAGTCTCAGATTGCCTGTGAAGGATCCTAGGAAGGAAGAGATTTAGGGTACTGTGGGAAGGCCCACATGGGCCTCATAGGGACAAGATCTATTGGGAAGAGTTGCTGTGCTCACTAGGCCTGGCCTCCTGAGCCAACCTTGTTCCCTTGAATAAAGAGTTAACTCCACTCACGCCTTGTGATTTATTGCTGACCTGCTCCAGCACCTGGAAACCGCCCCTACCCCCATGCAGGTCGTTCTGAGTTCCATGAGGGAAGAAAGGTGGAATATAAGTATACATTTTTTCCAGGCTTTTAAACATTTCAAAACATGCGCAGATGTATTGATTGTTGTTATCTCCATTGTGCACACACCGTTTTAGAACTTTTTGTAGGGATGAATGAATCTGTCAATGTTGGTTTCTCTCAGTATCTGATTCCCCCCCCCATCTTAATTTTCATTTCCTACATTTCTGCATCAGTTCGCAGACTTCTCTTTCAAGAAGCCCTTGCAAAAGCATTTCTGTGTGCATTTCCTGAAATGATACCTATTTTTGTGTGCAATTTTGCCTAAGGTACACATTTTTGCAAGCAGGCGATAGTCAGTAAAGTTGACAAATATGCTGCCTTGTGTTAGACTAGGGGTAGGCAACCTAAGGCCCGTGGGCCAGATGCGGCCCAATCGCCTTCTAAATCTGGCCCATGGACGGTCCGGAAATCAACATGTTTTTACATGAGTAGAATGTGTGCTTTTATTTATAATGCATCTCTGGGTTATTTGTGGGGCATAGGAATTTGTTCATATTTTTTTCAAAATATAGTCCGGCCCACCACATGGTCTGAGGGATGGTGGACCGGCCCATGGCTGAAAAAGGTTGCTGATCCCTGTGCTAGACCAACATTTGATCCCTCCGCCCAGCCCTTAAGGTGCCAGCTTAAGTCGGGTAAACAAAGCACTGACCTTTGGAAAGAAGGTGTGAGGCTTTGGCGGAGTCCTAGAGCTCTCCCAACACCTTCCTCAAGCCAGGTAAGTGCTTGCCCAGCTTTGGGAAGGCGAAGGAGGACTCTAGGACCCTGTCAGAGCCCCTCGCGCCTCCTTCCCAAAGCTGGGCAACTGTTTACCATGTTTTAAGAATGCACATTCCTCAGCTGCATGCCCAGTGCTCCTGCACCACTTGCACTGCCCTAAACCCACATGTAAGAGAACATAGAATAATAGTTTAAGTTCAAGTCTGGGAAATGCATGTTGGTTGTGATATCATCATCACTGCGCCCTCAATGTGCAAGCTGTTGACAATGTGCAGGAGATACGGACCCTGCCCTGGCAAGCTCACAACCTGAAATGGGATTCAGGAAATGGTGAAAGGATTCAGTAGTGTTAATAGTGGAGGAATGTGGACCATGTGCTCATTTCAGTTTCACATTCTTAATTTTTAGGCACAGCAGGGGATAGGGGCTAAGTAGTAATGCCAAAGGCTTCAGAGAAAAGTCGGGGGTCTTTGCAGGAAAAGGTTGCAGAGGAACTGCCCTGTGTAGTTGGTTTATAGAGTACAGTGGATCTAAGGAGCGAGTGTATTTATTTGGAGAAGCTGATGCTCATTCATTCTCTAGACAGCTCTCAGAGGCTACTGGCCAAATCCTGCACTGATTTATAGACTTGGCCTCCTGATTTACAATCTAATCTGGCAGAGCAGCCCAGCTGTAAGGGTCTAGAGGAGACTGTACGACTGCTGCCATCCACATTACATTTAATAGCCATAGTCGATTAAACCCCACAATTGTCATTTGACCTCACACAGGTCTGTTTGCAGGAGATAAAATTAGGAGTTGTCTGCTCTGGAATTTACTGAACTGAAGAAGTAACTGACCCCCATTCCCTTCTCCTTTCTGGTTAAATCCTTAGCATCTCTGGTTTAAAGGATACGATGGTAGGAGACATAAAAGTCTGAGATCTGTGCCCAAGACCTTGGGGTGCTTCTGCTGGCCAGAACAGACAATGGTGGTGTAGGGGAACAAATATTCTGACCCTGGTTTAAGATGACTATAGCATCTTCAGATGCTTGGTAGAATTTGCTTTTCTTCTGATTCCTTTGATTGGCAGCTTCCCCCACCCTACATTACAAATGGTGTAGTGGTTAAGAGCGGTAGTCTTGTAATCTGGGAAATCGGGTTCGCGTCTCCGCTCCTCCACATGCAGCTGCTGGGTGACCTTGGGCCAGTCACACTTCTCTGAAGTCTCTCAGCCCCACTCACCTCACAGAGTGTTTGTTGTGGGGGAGGAAGGGAAAGGAGAATGTTAGCCGCTTTGAGACTCCTGAAAGGGAGTGAAAGGCGGGATATCAAATCCAAAACTCTTCTTCTTCTTCTTTTGAGACCTCTCTCAGCTTCAAAAGAATCTTGAGCTCTTGGTGTGAGAAGATGCATTTTGAGAAACACAAGACCCTGAGCAAACCTCCTTTGAGCATGCTAATCAAGCCAGGGATCAGGTATTCTGACACACACAGCTGGGAATTGGCATGGCCTCCCTCATTATCATGCTAGGAATTGGTATAACCTCATGATGACCATCCAGTTGGCCTAAGGATGCTGGAATAGATGGACCTTCGCACTGATCAGTCAGGACTGTTCTCACAGTAAACCCCTCTAGGACTGCCCCTCCCCATATGTACCAACCTGGACCCTGGGATCATCATCTGAGGCCCTTCTTCATGTGCTTCCTCCACGAGAGGTCTGGAAGGTGGCAACACAAGAACTGGTCTTTTTGTGATGGCTCCCTGTTTGTGGAATTCTCTCCCAAGGGGGGCTTTCAGGGCGCCTTCAGCACAGATCTTTAGGTACCAGGAAAAAACATTCCTCTTCCCCCAGGCCTTTGACTAATTAATTACTCTATGGGCTTTTAGAAGCTACTAACATGAGTTTGACCAAACTGAGGGAGGCTGTGGAAGACAGGAGTGCCTGGAGTGCTCTGGTCCATGGGGTCACGAAGAGTCGGACATGACTAAACGACTAAACAACAAACAATGGCCTTTTAATCTCTCTCTCTCTCTCTCTTTGTGTGTGTGTAGGAGGTGTTGTTTTGTTATTATGTTCTGTATTTTTGTGGTTTTATACTGTAAACTACCTCGTGATCCTCAGGTGAAGGGTGGTGCATAAATTTAATAAATAATATGAAAGAAGGTTCAAATCAGGTCGGGTGAATTTATGGTGCCTACCTCTCTTTCTGCTGTTGCAGGGGGCCTGGAGGTCAATGGGACCTTTGCCTGAGTGCCAAGAGAAGTTTCCCAGCAATGCGACAGATTCAAGCCATTAAGGAGGCATTAAGCCCTTCTCTTAGCTCTCAGGTGACAAAGACTGGAGAAAAATGTGTTTTCTCTCTCCCTGGTTTCAGTTTTATTCCCCTGGGTCTCCGCTATAGGAGAAGGTCACGCACACAAATGTTATGCTGGCATTCCACAGCTGCAGACTTTCTAAAGCTGGTTTCCCCTTCAGTTTAGGGGCTCTTTAAATATTCCCTTTCCTTCATGGTGGCCATTTGTAGAATTTCTGCTCCTTCATGACAAAAGCAACATGTGAAGGACTCTTGAATTCCAGAGGACATCTGAGCCCATAAAAAGGTACAGAGAGATTTAAAAGGAGGAAAAGAAAAACAAAAATGCATGCAGGCTCCCCCCGCCCCCCAGCCAGAGCTCACCGGAGCTCTCAGGTGGGGGACATTGCCGTTCTAAGAGAACAAAGTAGAAATTCATGGTGAGTTCCAGTACCGATTTTTCTAGAAAAGAAATAGCACCAGGCCTATCTGGCATGAATGTAAAGCAGGAGAAATGGTCAGTTTTGGTGTCTTGGTGGTGCTGTGGGTTAAACCACAGAGCCTAGGACTTGCCGATCAGGAGGTCGGCGGTTTGAATCCCTGTGACGGGGTGAGCTCCCGTTGCTCTGTCCCTGCTCCTGCCAACCTAGCAGTTCGAAAGCATGAAGTGCAAGTAGATAAGTAGGTACCGCTCCGGCGGGAAGGTAAACGGCATTTCTGCGCGCTGCTCTGGTTGCCAGAAGTGGCTTAGTCATGCTGGCCACATGATCCTGAAGCTGTACACCGGCTCCCTCGGCCAATAAAGCGAGATGAGCGCCGCAACCCCAGAGTCGGCCACGACTGGACCTAATGGTCAGGGGTCCCTTTACCTTTTAAGAGATTGATAGAATCATAGAATTGTAAAGTTGGAAGGAACTATGAGGTTCATATTTTCCAACCCCCTACAATGCAGGAATCTTTTGCCCAATGTGAGGCTTGAACCCACAACCCTGAATTTAAGAGTCTCATGCTCTACCAACTGAGCCATCCTGGGAACAAATGACAAGGCTGACATGTTTTCTTTCTCTTGAAAATCTCCTGAAGTGTGAGGATAAATGTAGTGCCCTAGAAAGAGAGAAAACATTTTAAGATACAGCAGGGACCTTCTTAAACTTTGTGTGGTTATTGAAACTGATACAAATGCCAGATTAATTAGAAAATCAATGGTGTTGTCTGGCTGATTGATGCTAGCTCCAAGGAGAAAGAGGGAGGAAAGGGGGACCGATTGTTCTCAAGACTAGATAACTGCCCCCCCCCCGCTGCCGCCATTGCACTGATGGATGTCAGAGTTTGCATAAAATGAGTCTGTTGTGACAAGCTGCAATACATGCACCATGTCTTTGCTGAAGTAAAAAACCAGGTCTTTTGGGTCCAGTCAAGAGAAGCAAACATTATGAGCTCGAGAAGAATGCCTTTGGGGAATGGTGTTCATTTCATAAAAGATCTGGACATCCGAGCTTGACAACCATTTCACGTTACGGTCTTACAATGATGCGTTTAGTGACATTTAAAATGACCTTCAGCCAGACAGCCTTTCATGACAGGGCCTTTTCAGTGGTGGTTTCCTGCTTGTGGAATGCGCTCTCTAGTGAGGTGTGACTGTCATGCTCGCTTCGGCAGCACATATACTAAAATTGGAACGATACAGAGAAGATTAGCGTGAGGTGTGACTGTCTCCATTGTTATTAATTTTTCCAGAGGAATTGAAAATATTCCTGTTTACCCAGGTGTTTTCTGGCTGAAGAATACTGTTCTTAACAACCCGACAGACTGACAGACAGACAGATGATAGACATGTTATAAGAATTTTAAGGTCATATAATAAAAAAAAAATGTTCATAACTATATACCGTATTTTTCGCCCCATAGGGCGCACCGCCCCATAGGACGCACCTAGTTTGTTTTTTTGGGGGGGGGGGAATAAAGGGAAAAAAAATATTTCCCCCCCAAGTGCGGGGCTGGCGCGGGGGAAGCCCGAGCTTCCCCCAATCCCAGCCCCGAGAACAGCCTGCTATCTGCAAGCCTAGGGACGCCAGCGGTAAGTCGCGCCGGTCTCCCCAGGCTTCGGAATGCAGGCAGCTCTGCGCAGCCATCGGGAGGCAGGCGCGACTTCGCGCCTCGCTCTGGATGGGTGCGCAGAGCTGCGCTCGCCCGGGACTGCAGGCAGCTCTGCGCAGCCATCGGGAAGCGGGCACGAAGTGGCGCCGGTCTCCCGAGGGTTGCACAGAGCTTCCTGAAGCCTGGAGAGCGAGAGGGGTCGGTGCGCACTGACCCCTCTTGCTCTCCAGGCTTCAGCGAAAGCCTGCATTCGCCCCATAGGACGCACACACATTTCCCCTTCATTTTTGGAGGGGAAAAAGTACGTCTTATAGGGCGAAAAATACGGTATATATATAAACCACATGTCTGAAACCCCACAAAAAAGGTCCTGAACAAATTGACCTCAAATATTTCTCTGCAAGGTCAAAGTGGGAAACCTCCCCATTGTCTCTTTCCTCACAAATCCTGTCCTCACAAATCCTGTCTTAAGGACACATTCAAAATATGAACAGGGTCTGAGCCTGTGACCTAGATTCAGGACTTAAGTAGTTATAATAACAAAAGAGTGGCCAAAACCCAGACAATGCAATCAGGTAACTTGCCAGACAGGAGATAAACAACACACTCAGATTTCTGTTGTAGACCAGCTTTTCTGTGATGTAGGAATGATGTATCTGGGGGTGGTCTTGGGCTACACCCCTTCTGTGATGTATGTATGATGTTTCTGGGGGTGGTCTTGGACTTCAGGGCGGGCAATTTAAAAATATCTATATAAGAGCTTGCAAGCATGGCTCGGGGTCCTCCTCTCTCCTGCTTGTGGGGGAGCACCCTGTTGCAACAGTTAATAAAGATCAGGTTTACTAGCTGCTTTGCTTCTCAATATTCTCTGGTTGGTCTCTGTTATTTTCTCCTACCGATAGAGAACCTACAAAAGGACTCTATATGGGCTCTTGGGAAAAGGAGCAGGTTTTTTTTTACTTATATCAGATAGATAGATAGATCTTCCACACTCACAATGATTGGCGTTTGGCTAGTTGTGTGTGTGTGTGTGTGTGTGTGTGTGTGTGTGTGTGTACAGCATATATATAAGTGCCATGCTTTTGTTTTGTGATTTGCATGGGTCCATGCCATGGGGGGGGCATATACAGGCAGCTCTCCTACCAAGCAATGGTTCTGTTCTCAATTTTTCTTGGCACCAACCGTTTGCGAGCATCGACCTTCTCAGCGGGCCTCCAATAACATACAGTTGAAAACTGCAGACAAAAGGAATAACTCCCACACTGCATCGGTTCAATAAACGCTTTATAATTCCATAGCCAGCAACATTCAACACACCTACATGTTCCTGAATAATTGACCACCCTACAATTCTGCAGGAACCTGATCCTCTGAGATAGCCTTACCGATGTCCCTCGAATTCCCATCCCCCAGCCTTTCATTTTGATTTCTCTACAGAGCTACGGACACCATAACCCTTTTTGGTAACTCCGTATCATGAGTGTTTATGAATTGCTGGTAACTGAACTGTCCCCTTCCTCCCCACCCCGGTTTCCTCCCCCCCGATTTCCTTCTCCACACCCTTCTTCCTCATGACAAACGATTGTGTCAGCAGAGGAACAATGCAGGTGACTAACCTCATAAAATGTAGTAAATGATTAATAAAAACTTCAAATAACAAAGGCTCCGTGGCAGCAGCTGTGGGTTGCCTGTCAGAACTGATTGCTCTATGTGGTTGGTCTGCCTTAAGGATGGCACCAGGCTCCTGGCAGGGAGAGGAGAAGAAATTCCAAAAGAGGAATCAACAAATGAAACTGATCTGTAAAAAAATGTCACTTGAAAAAAGAGAGAGAGACATTGCACATACTTTTGTAAACCAAGAAAATCTTTAATAAAAATACATTAAAAAAGAAGGAAAAACAAACAAAGAAAGCAATTCATCTCTCTCTCTCTCTCTCCCTCTCCCTCTGAAATATTACCAGGTATTAAAACTTCATTGTCATAAATGAGGTTTGCTCATTCCCTGCCAACCATCTTTACCTTCTGCAAAAGTGGTTCTTAGACTTTCTTTCCTCTCTTCGCACAGAAGACTTTGCATATTTTACATGACTCCCCTGGGACTCCAGTTCATTGCAGAATATTGCAGAGTGTGCTCTAGAATGCACGAGAGACACTGCGCGGGCATATTAGGCGTCAAGGACCGGCGTCTGCTACAAATTTTCGCAACGTGTTCAGGAGGCCCACTTGCTTTTCCATTTTTCTCCTGGCCGTTAGTCAAGCTTCCGTGGACGCCAAGCATGGCAAGTCCTCCTTGACCTCTTTTGAGAGCTCCGTTTAGGCCCCCACCCCGAAATGTACTTCTGCAAATGATGTTCCGTTGAGCATGCTGATACCTTCATCCTGGATAGCTCAGCTGGTTAGAGCGTGGTGCTGATAATGCTAAGGTTGCAGGTTCAATCCCTGTATGGGACAGCTGCATATTCCTGCATTGCAGGGGGTTGGACTAGATGATCCTTGGGGTCCCTCCCGACTCTACAATTCTATTATTCCTCTTGTGCTTGGGCGGTGCAATTCTGGCTGCATAGGCAACTGGCTGCATAGGCAACTGGCCTGAACATTTGAGATAGAGGAAATGATGTCACCCTTCATGAGGACTAGCTGAATTAGAGGGCTGCAGAGAGTCTTGTGGCATCTTAAAGACTAAAAATGGACCATGGTGTGTGCTTCTGAGAGCTGTTACTGCAAAACTTCCCAAGGATTTTCATGCAATTGACTGGAGCAGTTGAGAAGACCAATTAATTGGGAGGGGGAAGTGGGAAGGGGCTCACAAATCCCTGCCTGAGGAGTGCATGAAAAACTCCCCCCCCACACACACAACACAGTACATATTGCAGACTTGGTGGCAAACATTCTTAGCCACTACGCCAGCTTTTACTGCTTCCAACCTCATGTTCATAAAAACAAAATTTTGCAATTAATTATGCGAGGTCTTCAGGGTAAGACTGGGATTTGCTGTTAATGACCCAATGTCTATCTACCCCATATTTTGTCTGTAGGTAGTGGCAAGGTGGGGAGAGGAAGATATTCTGAGAAAGTGAATTAAAGTTCTTTCCACGGGGGTTCATAAAACCTTCAGTAATGCAGAGCTTCCATATTAGAAGGTAAAAACGGAAAACTCAGAAGCATCCCCAAGAAGACATTCACTGGCTGGAATTTTCTCTGTGCGGGCCATTAAAGGAGAAAGCCAATATGGAGAAATGAAGTCAAGGCTGTAGTTTGATTCTAAGAGGTGTGTGTGTTAGCATTTGTATTGTATTTGTTAGAAAATGTATTTTACAAAGAATGAATTGTACTGAGGGAAAAAGAAAGCCTAGGTAATGGAACAGCTGCAAAATCTTGTGTCTCCAATTAAGGTCACAGAAACGCCCGATCATTCCCTTGTTAATTAGTTAACTCCCTTATTTAATTATTTTAATTGTGAGCATATGTGTGTGTGTCTTAGATAGGAGGGAAGGACTAGGAGTTGAAGGTTGGCTGGTTGTTTCGCTGTGTGTGGAAACCTCAAGCAGATGCTTGTCTGGAGAAGTTTGTGGGGGCAGACAAGCAATGGACTGATAACTTATGCACTGCCACAATGGAGTTTTGGAAGCCAGAAGCAAGAAGACCCTCTCTTGGGGTCGAGAGAAACACATTGCATTGAACTTGATATGCATGAATACTACTGATTGTTAATAGCTGCCATTCTGCAAGAGTCCTCTTCAAAGTCTTGTGTGTGGAGTCTACTTCATCACTAGGGCTTCAAGGGTGAAACTGCTGCACCACTCTGTATGACTCAGAAAAATAGCTAATGGGGGTGTGTGGCACCAAATAATGGGGTGAACTGAAGTTATTTCCTCCTCTCGAGTCAAAGTGCAATGTCAGTACCCTCCCCTTGTCAGTACCAAGGACCCCACATCATGCCACTCTGAAGGCGAATGTTGTAAAATTCAGGATGAATTTTTTCGCATACTGCATAGTGAAACTATGGAATTCAGGGAGAGACAGCATCTTGGATGGCTTTAAAGAGGGTTGGGCAAATTCTTTGAGAAAAAGACTGTCCATTGCAACTAGTCATGGTGCCGATATGACCTCTGGCGATCATGAGTGGGAAATCTGCTAGTGCAGTCATGAACATGAACATGAAATTTATTACGGTCAGAGACCAGCTTGTGAAACACAAATGGAACAACAATCCCAATAACAAAACAAACATTTAAAACAATATACAACAATGGATTTTAAAAGTGCGATAGGCATATGAACACACAAAAACTTTAAGACGGACTACCTTAGAGAAATGACCAAGAGTTGCCCATGGATCTAAGTTTGGGAATTCTCTTAACAAACTAGATTGAATCAGGGGATGGTCTGTGCCTACAGATCTGTGCGCAGAATCTGGTGACAATCCGGGTCGTCTTGTGGACTTTGCCTAACAGGAGAAGATCAAATTTTTGCTTTACCGGGAGGTCAGCAAGCCTCACCAGCAGGGGGTCAATGGTTTCTCTACGTGCCTCATCGTAAAAGGGACATCTAAAAAATATGTGTTCAGGGCTTCCTATATCCCCCAATGGACAGGCACAAATTCTCAGGTCATATGGGACTTTTTTAAAGGATCCTT